TATAATGGGAACCCAAATATAGGAACCCGTATTATAGGGAATTTAGACCAATACCCAAGTAGGCAAAAAGGAGTTGCGCCACGGCACGCCAAAGTAGAACTCGAACTGACCTGAAGCCGAGCCCCACAGGTGATGGGATGTTATCCGGGCCATATGAGCCATAGTCTAAACTCCTAAAAAGAGGTTATATAGGGGATTATATAGGGGACAACTACAGGGGATATTAAGGGGGATACTAGGAGTTTAGACTATGGCTCATATGGGGGTTTCCCAAAAATTAGGGGTACCCTTTTGGGTGGTCCCCATAATAAGGATTATGGTATATTGGGGTCTCTTTGGGGTCCCCTTATTTAGGCCAACTACCATATAGTCGCTCTATTCAGTTAGCCTCATGGTGAATCACATGTAAAAAGAAAATGGCACAAGACATGAAAAGTGGAGTTGCGCAAGCAATGAAGACGGCCCTGTGTTCGAAAAGTAAGGAAACTCACTGAAAGGCTTTACCGCTGACGGATGAAATCCTGAAGGCGTGTTGTATACACGTATGCACTTCCAGATTGTGGAAATCATCTATGGTGATCACGAGTGCTCGCAGACATGCAATGAACCGCCCGCAGCGCACTAATTATGAGCTGCCTTTCAACTACGTCAAGTGACAGCCTTCACACGAACAGTTTTACCTACAGCTTGCAGACAGGACGATCTCACATAAGCCGCAAGAGAGATTCTCGTATCTTGATAGCTTCTGTGGGAAACTTTGAATTTCTATACCCCACTGTAAACCAGAACTACAACTTATGTTAATTAGTCATGAGAACAGTGATGATTGGGCACTCGAAGCCTTGAGACTGAAGCGGGTGACGACGGCGCATAATTATGGGGTTTCCAAATAACAGGGCCCCCCTATGGAAACCCCACTGTGTTTTTGGAAGGGCCTAGCATGCGACAACCGTAATGAAACAAATTAGCTCTCAACCCTGCTGTGTTACCAGTACTAGTATGGTTCCCATTGTCACCATTAATTACGATTAATTCCAATTAATTACCATTATTTACCATTATTTCCCATTAGCTACCATGTATTACCGTTAATTACGATTCAGTAGTTACAGTTAGTTAATTACCATCAATGGGAATTAATTACCAGTAATTGCCAGTGATGGTATCTTACCATTAGTTAGCATAAACTACCCTTGAGTACCATGAGTCACCATTAAGTACCACCATTAATTATCATTAGTTACCATCAATTACCATGAATTATTAATTACCATCAAGTACCATTAACTACCATTAGCACCACCCTTCAAATTCAAACCGAAGCCCGCAAACTCTTCCCCGCAGCCCGAAAAATGCTATCTGCGAGGGCACCCACTCAGACTCGTCATCATGAAAGCAGCATCCCTAATTGTGTAACCTGTTGTATGCGCTATTCAATCCGAAAATCAAACCCCCAAAGCCTGCGCACGCTCAATTCTGAGCGGCTACTGAGGACGCGACTTCGGATCGCAAAACGCAACTGCTCAGCCTGCAACCAACGAGTTGCGTAGATCCACGCGCCATCTGATATGCAAATACAGATGGTTACAGTTACCGCAACAATTGCCACATCAATCAAAGGGCGGGGCTGGGGGAAAGGAGCGGCGACAGTTCCAGCAATAGCTTCCGATGGTATTCTCGTGAATGGCGATAAACACATCATATCATATCATCATCAAAGCATGGGTAATGCTCGCTGTTTTGGTTGTTTCGAAGTATCCGCGCATAAGTCCTAACAGCTTCTGCAGGAGAACAAATTTCATGCTGTGGTGGGTACCCCAGGAATCCGACTACTTTGGGGTACATGATATTTGCATATGTGGATGCCAACTACCCATGCAGACCCTACAACCTGATCGAAAAAAATCTTAACAAATCCATGTCCCACATCGGCACAAAACATTTAAAAGGCAAAGGCCCCACAGGCGCTTCCAATTTTCGGAACCCATCAGATGCCTGGAAAAAACCTTCTTGAACTCAACCCCCAAAAGCATCGTTCTTATTCTAATTCTTACTTTTCTTCTTATCTATCATTACCGCTACTACTAGTGAGTGGTATGATTGCTATTACCAGTGCTGCAATTCTTGCCGCTCTTAAAACCAACATCGTGAAAACCAAGATTCTCACAAGGAACCCCTGTCTCCCCGACACAAACAAGGACCAAGCGTTGGCAAGAACAACCGCAAACCTCATAACGTTTTTCGTGCTTAGTATGGGTTGAAAATATGTCAGAAGAGCAGTTGTAAAAGGGGTCACCACAGTTACAAGGATCCATTCCTTCATTCCCTATTGAACACCAGGTAAACATTTCCGAAGCCCTGAATTTTAAAGGCACTGAACTTTAAACCCCTGAACCCCAAATCCCAAACCAAGCGCCTTCTGCCTGTCCACGGCCATGTTTTGGCGGTGAAGTTTCTTGCTCGGCATAGACTCGATGTTCGTCTTCCTGCAGGAGAGGACAGAGCGGAAGGGATGTTCAGCTTAGTGTGCTGAAGGTTTTTGTCAGGAAGTTATGTTGAAAAGTTGCATGCTGCAGCTTCATAGGGATGCTTAGATGTTCTTTAGCTGTACAGAAGGTTTTGTTGGACATGCTACGGTGAAGCCTAAAAAAGGCTGCGCAAGCTCCGGCCATTTCGGGAGGAGGTTTGGATTAGAGTTTGCGTTTAGGGTTTGGGTTGGGAGTAACGGGCACCAGTAATGGAAACCGCCTTTCCTAGTCTGTAACACCAACTGTCTGTGACAGTAACGGCAGCCGGACCGCCCTTCGTAGCCGAAAACGCGCGTCACTCGCACGGCGATGAGCTTCCAAGACCAGGATATGTGCCTGACACGGGAAGGCGTGCTGACCTACACCAAGCACTGGATAGAGCGCAGCAACGCGCATGCGAAGCCTGTTGTTAAACCTGCATCTGCGCATCTGGGGAGGAGTGTGTTGCTGCGTGTATTGCCGCAAGCACGAGAACTGCAGGTAGGTCTCCACAGCTGTGAGAATCACACGTGCTTAGCTGTTTTTTGCGTGGCGTCTTCCTTGTTTTCAGGGGTGTGTGTGGGTGCAGCACTTCCTGTATCTTGTCACCTGCCTGACGGTTGAGTGCATTCCAGTCCAGCAAGTCATGCAGGTCAGGAGACACGCCGATCGACCGCCCGCACAGGCTCTAGTTGATATGCTGGTAGATGCTCACGGCTCCGCCGGTCCTGATGCTCATGCCGCTCCGGCGCCCGTTAGGGAGTGCTGCAGAATATTCTTCGCAGATTCCTGCGCAGAAAGGTGGATCCGGCCAGACAAGAGAACCGACGCGCGCAGTTGGGATGGCGCGAATGGTTGCAAGCAGCCGCTGCGCGTCCTGAGGACATTCTCCACCTCCAGCTCCAGGCTCCAGGTTTCTACGCCAACACTGCACAAGAGGCCAGGGCTGCTGCAGCAGCAGCAGTGTACGGCTCAAGGCGTCGAGCGGGAAACATCAACACCAGTGGCTTCCCTGGTTAACGCAGTGGCCAAAAAAACGTAAGGCAACACAGATCAGCAAACTGCAGCCTTGGGTCTGATGCCCTCTGACCGATTTCCCAAAGGTCTGCACGAAGCAGATACTGGCCTCCCGATAACCGCGGAGGCGGCGAAAGCTTCGAAAGCGCCTGAAGCCCTAAACCTCTTCAAGCTTATAAACTTCGACATTCTGAAACCAAAGTTCAGCTGGTCAGGCTAGCCAGAAAACATCAGAAGCGCAGACTGCAGCAAAGCGCGAACCGGGTGAGAAGCTTTCGGTTTAGGGGTTGAAGTCTAGTTCAGAGATTCATGACTTTAGTTAATTGTGACTGAAGGTTGAGGGCCTAAGGGCTCAGCAAGGAGTGTTGATTAAAGGTGTAGCTTCATGGAAGGAATCCGGAAATCCCCAAATGCACTTCTGTAATAGCTGTGACCGGCGACCGGATGCATCGTCTAAATAGGGGACCGGAATTCGGTCCCCCTCTTATAGCCCTTCAGCGAAAGTGCTCGAATCTATGTGGAAGCATGCCTGAAGGTCCAGTCCACCTAATGCCCCCGACGGTTCCCGTTACAGCCGGGCCAGCTGACCTGGTATAGGAACGGGCAGGTTCTGGTTACAAGTCCGGGCTGCGTTCCGGTCACGGGTCATTGTCCTCCTACTTCCAACCCTTTTAAGGTTTCAAGTGGTGGTCAATATGGCCTGTTAGCATGGCCTGGAATGGCTTCTCCTGTCGCGGGTATAGTTCAACGCAACTGCATGACCAGCGAGACCCTCCTGCTGATCCCAAGAACCAGCTGCATATCTCGGGGTTTAACATTCAGCGTCCCATGGGGTTTAGGGACTTGTCTTGCCTGGTTACGCCTACTGTGACTGCCATCCTCTCACGGCTCCTGCCAGGGATTTTGCATAAACTTCCCTGTGACCCCACTGCAACTTCTTCCGACCCCTAAGCCTCCCTATACAACCTCAACCATTGCTTTCAATCCCAATGTTCAGAACCCCACCATTTCCCAGACCCCCTAAAGGATCCAAAAAATGGAGCCCCCCCAATATGAACCCATTACTACATCGGGGTAACTAGGGGATTATTAGGGGGTTCCATTTTTTGGATCCTTTAGGGGGTCTGGGAAGGTTCAGAATTCCAATTGAAACATCCTTAAGGTACTTTGGACCCTAAACCCTAAATCCTATATAGTAGTTTCCATTTTATTTTCCATTATCCCAATATCATCCCAACATATACCTTATAATCAATGTATATACCCTATCTAATTCAGAACCCCACCATTTCAAGACACTCCGACTAAAGCTCCTCATTTCTGTTCGCAGTCCAGCCCCACTGCTAGACTCGGCAGGGCAACTACCTTCTGCGCCTCCAGCCTGTGCGCAGTGAGCTTGGGTTTCTCGGGTTTCTGGGGTTTCTGGGGTGTCTGTGGTTTCTGTGGTTTCTGCGGTTTCTGGGTCCCTGTTGCGGTGTCTGCAACTTCAAAGCTTGTATCGTAGCTGTACCCGAATTCTGGAAGGGCCTCTGTAAAGCATGGCTACACAGTCCCTAGGCAGTAAGGTTCAGGGATTTGCCCTAAATCCCCTTTGACCCCAAACCCTCAATACTCCTAAATCGTAGTAGAAAACCAGCCTAAACTGGCCTCAGAACCCCAGTAAAAATTAGAATTCTTTGTTGTTATTGGGATTATGGTAACCGAAAATTAAAATCATCTTGGAGGCCCCTATAGCAACATAGCAGTTGCCATTTGCTTGTCCATGCCTCCACTGCCTACTAAGTCGAACCTTACCCTCTCAGAGTCCGAAAACACACCTACCCAGACCCCCTAAAGGATCCAAAAAATGGGGTTTAGGGTTCAGGGTTTAGGATTTAGGTTTTTAGGGTTTAGGGTTTAGGATTCAGGGTTTAGGGTGTAGGATTTGGGGGGTCAAAGGATCCAAAAAATGGAGCCCCCCCAATATGAACCCATGACTACATTGGGGAAACTAGGGGACTATTAGGGGGTTCCCTTTTTTGGGATCCTTTAGAGGGTCTGGGTAGGAGGAACATGAGCTTGCGGCAATACCTTCCATGCGAGGGAGGGCTGCGGGACCCACCTCTTTATTCCCCGGAAATTCCCAGGCACCCGCTGCCGGCACCTCTGCGCCAGCGATGCCCCGTAAACCTCAAACCCTAAATGCACCAATCCAGGCCTGGAACGAGCCTACCTGGAACAAGGCATCCACCGGCGCGCTCCAGGAGGATCCATCTTGCGAGAAGGTGACCTGACAAAGATGTAGACAGATTGGGGACTGGAAAAGAGAATGGAAACTACTATTCGGGATTTAAGGATATTACCCAACTGAAGGAGAATCTAGTGGAAAAGACACATGGAGAATGCGCTGGAAACTGCAGCGTTAATTTTACAGCGGAGCTAGGGGTTAATGGACTCATGTTAGAGGATTCGGAGTTGGGGATCGCGTGGTGGCACTAGCTGGCCAGTGGTTGCGCTGCATGCTTCCACTTTCTGATGCGAAGCCATCACGCGACACCCATGTCAAGCGATGCAAAACCGCGCACACTTTTTTCATCAAGCCCAGTCCCAAATCGTGAAGCCTATGATTAAGGCCCGAACGAATAATTGTAGCAGTACTACTAAGAGCAAGAATACTAATCGTAACAATAAGAATACTAATAACAACAATAGTCGTAGTAAAGAGTGAAAACAGCAATACCAGTAGTAAAAGAAATATAGTAATTAAAAACCAGACCCAAAGTTCCAAACTCCAAAAGCCCCTTCCTCAGGCCCATTCTAGCTTAATGCGCCTGTGACACGCCACTTGCTGCGCCAGCTCCAATACATTGGGCTGCCTGCTCCAGTTGTTTTCCCATGTCTTCGGGCTTGGATGTGGGGTACCAGAACCCTCAAAAATGAGTAAAATCATAGTCCAAAACCCTAAACCCTAAACCCCACATATAGCCCAAAAGCAATTATTTGGGGTTCAGGTAGGGACCCAGGGGCCGGTTTAGGGGCTTCGGGTTTGGGGGTTTGGGACGCCTGGGGTTGAGAGGTTTTGGGCAACAAATATTCGTCCTTGATCGTGAATGCAGGGGTTTAAAGAAACTGGGTTAAGGGTTTAGGATTTAGGGTTTAGAATTCAGGGTGTAGGGTTTAGGGGATAAAGGTTGAGCGCGTAAAGGCTCTTTAGGGGTTGAAAGGTGCAAGTGGGCTGCACAAGCCAACAAGCATGGAGTCTTGCAAAGGAGACCATGGACATCAGCAGGTTTTCAAATTTCAGCACGGGTTTGGAGGCGCTCCCCCCTCCCCACCCAAAGTCAGGTAGCTATGCAGGTATTTAGATTGATTTCTGTGTGGCTGGGGGAAGTCAGTACTTGCTTCAGATAATCATGCTGCGGGATTGATGTTGTAGGATTGTTGTAGGTGGGTAATGACTCACTCGCTCCACTCGTGTCTAGATTTAACCCAATCAGGATTGCTTGAAAAATGCACGGGTTTCCAAAAATGGGGACCCCTAACTTTTTAAAACTGTCCATTTTCAGAAGGCTTGTCTCAAAGCTCATGTGCAGGTCTGGGGGTCTCGGTGCTGCTGTCGCCAAACAACCTGAAGTCATATCCTTTGTTCGCTTCCCCCGCACTTCAGTAGACTGAGATGGAAGAAGAATCAGTGCTTGCTCAGGATTGGGTAGTGTGTCTCAAACGACCCCAGCAGTCATAGCTAACTGCATAAGACGAGGCTTTCGCAAATGGGCCAGTGACAGAGGCAAGGTGTAGCACAAAAGCCTAGCCCCTCCTCAAGTTATTGCATCTCTAGGCAGGTATATCACCTGGGTTTAGGGTTTAGGGTGTCATGTGCAATGGTAATGGTAACATAGACGAATATAGGTTATAACCTGGTCATGACTTCACGTTGTCCTACCAATCTGCATCTCCAAAATTACCCCTGCCTGGAAATCCAT